GGCGTGTTCTGGTGCCCCTTGGTGGGTGTATTTCTTTTATTTCTGATGCCCCAAGAATAGCTAATTCATAATTGCAGGCTCTACAGTTGGTTTTTCACAGTGTGTTGAATTTCAGTTAGTTTCAAATATCTTGCCACATCTCGGCAGGACAGGTTGGCCCTTGATACGAGGATACAGTTGTCCCCAAACTGGCCTGCTTGCCTCCGCGCCCTCGTGGAACCAGGAGGCGTGGGGGGCCCTTGTGTACTTAAGGGGGCCCTTGTGTGCCACGGAGCTGGCTCCTCAGCTCTCCTCGGCGGCCCAACCCCTTGCAAGGCTCAAGCAAACAGCATCAGGGAAATAGATTTCCCACATCCCCAGACCAACCTCTCCCAACATCCCACGTACTCAAGGGGAGCATGAGTTCTTTCATGGCTGGATTCTTCCGTTTTTCCTACGGCAACTTGCACACGCTTCTGCTTACTTCTCAGCAGAGCTTGAAACTAGCCAGCTTTGCCACACGGTAACCTTTCAGAGTTTTAAAACTGTTTTTATAGCTTTTCTTCACCTGGCTACAGAGTTTCAACTTGCTTAGTCTCTTCTTAGAAATCTCATTTCTGGGGCTCCGGGTGGCTCCGTCGGTTAAGTGTCCGACTTTGGCTCAGGTCATGATCTCACAGTTTGTGCGTTCGAGCCCCGCATCGGGCTCCGTGCTGACAGCTCAGAGCCTGGAGCCTGTTTCCGATTCTGTGTCTCCCTCCCTCTCTGCCCCTCCCCTGCTCTCACTCTGCCTCTCTCTATCTCTCTCTCTCAAAAATAAATAAATATTTAAAAAAAAAACTCATTTCCCTCCCCTTTCAATCCTCCTAATGCCCCACACATGAAAATAAGAATAATAAATGCCAGTTGACTGTATCCCATGTGAGGACTAGGGATGGCAAGAGACTCAGATCAGGTAGTGCCAGGGAACCAGCATTTACTGCGGGTCTACTAGGTGCTCACCACTGTGAGGTGCCTCTTAGTCCGGCCGTGGGGGGTCTGGCCCAGGACAGACTGGAGAGCTGGAAATCAAGAAGGGCCCTAGGGCATCGCCACTCTCAGCCAGAGGCTGGGGAAGAGACAGGGTGTTTACATCTCATGAATAGACCTCTCGTGTCTAAGCGTCCATGTGGGAAACTGAGCCCTTGAAACGGGTCCCTGAGAGGGACTCCCAGCTCAGCCATCATCTCTCACCCTCCACCCCTACCTCCCTGGATTCAGCTCTCCGGCTCCCTCTCCAAGCTCCCTCTTCTTCCCTTGCTCAGAGCCTGACAGCCTCCTCAACCCTTCAGGTCTCTGGGCCTGAGTTTTCCCCACGGTGCCTTTGTCTTGTGCTTTTGTTTGTGGGAGTTGGAGTTCATATGCTTTTGTTGAAGCAATGATCCACGATGAGTCCCCTGGGACCTTAATGCAGGCGGATGCCTCAAGCCCATACCTGTGCTGACCACCTCAGACCCCTATAGGCACAATCCTCGTGTCCCCACGATGTCCTCCTGTCAACTAGTTTTTAACTTCCTGGTGCCACAGTGTGGGGCAAATCCCTTAACATCTCTGAAGCTCAGTTTCCCTATCTGGAAAATAAAGACCCCATTCTTGGCTTTTCAGCTTGCACTGGTGTGTTTGGAGAATTAAATTAAATTCAGAGTACAGTCAAGTGCTCTAAACTCCCCAGGTCTCTGGTGAACTCTGGGTCGGGAGCTAAATTCCCTGTGTGGCTGTCCTAGCTCTGCTCCTGTCCCGGGGCAGGTCACTTCCCCTCTCTGGGACTCAGATTTATCATCTCGAAGAAAGGGCTTTGGACCAGAGGCCCCCTCCAGCCGGTCAGCCCTGACTACTACTGCTTCTGTGAACTCCCCACAATGCTAGAGAGTTCTAGAGATGGCATGTGCTTCAGGGGGCCTCTGAGACCCACTCATCAGCCCCAGGCCTTGAGCCTTTCCAACTCCTACGGCTGACCTCTCTCATCTGGGGTCCCCACCCCCCTTCTCCCAGACAGGCCCTGACCTCTCCCTCCCCCACGAAGCTTTTTGCGGGATGGAGATGGAGGGTACGCATATGCTCGTCCCTCCTTAGCTCTCTGGGGCTTCATGCCCCAGCCACCCCTGGGGCCACTCCAGGCCCAGAGTCTGTCTGGGGCCACTCCAGGCCCAGAGTCTGTGGGCCTCCAGGCCTTCATGCCCACCTGCCCAGCCCTGCCTTTATTCTTAGCGGGAGGTGGCCACTTCTTGGGCCTCCCCCACCCCTTTGCCTTCAGTCACACCTTCCCTGACAGGAAAGCCTAAGGGCCTGGCCCGTGGGCGTGGAGCTGAACAGGGAAGTGGAGGCAGAATCCAGACGTTGAAAGGAGGGAGGAGGGAGCAGAAACCAGAAGGCCCAGATGCCTGCCCCACCCCCACCCCCTCCCTCCCTGACCCTCACCCCTCACGGCCAGATGGACAGACCTCCCTCGCCCTGCCATCCCCCGGTGCTGGCTTCGCCAGGACAGCCCACGCCTAAGCCCTCTGAGACAGGCCATCCCGACATCCGCACCCTGTGGTGAGGAGCCTTTGGGCCCCACGGGCTCCACCCTGGCCTGGGACACCTACTTGTGCTCGCCATCTCTGCCTCCCTTGGTCTTCTCTCTGCCTTTGCTGAGTAGGGGGAAGAAATGAGGAGACAAGGGGATGTGAGTGAGAGGGTGTGGACCAGAGACACTTGCAGATTTAGCCCCTGGCCCTGTTGACCCCCCACTCCCCAAGGGCCTCCTCATCCCAGGGACCCCCTCACCCCACAGCTTCTCGCTGCAGCCTAAGCCTGCTGGGCAGGGGTCTGATGGTTCCCAGGCTCTGCCCTGGTCGCAGGAGCGGGGCTGGACGGCCACTTCCCAAGCCCAGGAGAGCCTGGAGCCTTGAAATGGGAGGAGGCCTCAGGGTGTCACCTGATCTCCTCCATTCACAGGCAAGGGCCTGGTGATTTCTACTGTGGGTCTCAGATGCCTCAGGGAATGCAAGGTTAGATGAGCCTGGCCACCCTCCAGGCCTGGGCCACCCTGCTCCTCCTCACCTCCTCCCTGGATCCCCTCCAATGGAGTGGGCAGCTCTCAGGCTCTGACGGCCTTGGAGGGCAAGGGTGGGCCAGGGAGATTCTGGGGATGTGGCAATAAGAGAGCTACCACTTCAGGGCGCAGAGCAGGGTAAGAACCGTGCCCTTCTCCCTCTTTAGGGAGGCTTTCAGAAAAGCCTTCTGGAATGTTCTCTCAATCCTTCCCTAATGCTATGGCAAGGAAGATGAAGAAAAGAAAGCAGACAACAATTAGGAGATGTTTTAGTGATGTTTTCCCTCTCCTCATGCTGTACTGGCACAGGCCTTGCCCAGGCGGACATGATTCTGTGCCATGACAGCTCAGGACCTACAGGCCCACGTAGCTCACAGCTGAAGTCCAGCTTTGGCCATTAGGCAAGCTGGTCAGTTTGTAATTCCTTTCAAAGTACTTAGCATTAGCCAGGTCTCTGCTGGTCACAGAACACCTCGCTGCAGAGAAGGGGAGATAGTCTCAGCAGCCCTGTGCTGGCCCCAGGCCTGGCCTGGAGGCGGGCCGGTCAGGCATGGGTCGCCATTGGGACCCACTGAGAGCTGCATGGGGCTTGCCCCAGTGGAGCAGGAGCCCCAGTGAGCTTTTGAGAATGAGGGCCGAATGGGAGATTTACTGACTGCACTCTCACATTAACCCAAACAGGGCCGCCTTTCTCTGAGTTACCCATCCAAGTTTTGAAGCAAGTTTGTTTGCTTGTTGTTTTCTTAAAGAACTCTGTGACCCTGAAGAATCTGAAAATCATTGCAATAGGGGAACCGGAAGGGGAACTGCATCCCCTAGGACTGGGCAAGGATGGAACGGGAAGGAGGAATTGATACACCTGAACAATAAAACGTGAGGTTCTCTCTCTTTCCCTTCCGGTTTTGCTCTGAAATCTTGGAGAGCCGTCGGGCTGGCCCAGCGGGGGAGCTTCTCAGGCACACAGCAGGCCCAGGTGGCGCACAGCACAGGCTGCCTGGAACATGCCTGCCTCACCCCGTCCTCACACACTCCAGGCCGCTGGGCCCACAAAGGGGCCGCACACAGGCCCACACTCTGAGTGTGGAAACGGAGAAGGGAAAAGGACTGTCTTTCTGTGAAAAAAAAGAACATTCTCATGATTTTACCACAACCGCTATTAATGACTACAACGAACGTGAATAATAAAGCTTCAGGGTTCTGTGCTCAGCCTGCCCTCAGTCATTCGGCCACAAGCAGTAGGGATGGGATGTGGCCCGGCCTCTGTCCTCCTTGCTCGGAGACCTCTCCGTGAAGGCCTGGATGGGGCTGGACTTTCCCCCTAGGGTCCACGTTGTGTTTTCAGCGGGTAGGTTGGGTGGGTTCTGTTCCTCAGCCAGCCTTCTGTCTCTCTGGGCCTGGGTTTCACTCCGTCTCTTCCTCACACCCCCATCCACATTGCTCTGGGTGTGCCACTGAAAGCAGCCACCGTGTGGGAGATTCAATATGGCGGCCCGCTGGGGGGCTCTGAGGCTTGCTGGGACCCAGTGCTTCACGGGGCCAGACCTCACTTGAACACTCAGCCCTGGGCCGGGGGTGGAGGGGACCCTAACCTCGGGTGAAACAGCTGGTGAAGCATCGCTTCACCCCTATCCCAGCATGGCCCTGGCCCTGGCTCCTCTGTGCTGAGGTGGGGGAGGGATCATGGGAACTGGGGGGTGAGGTCGGCTGTGCTGACCCCATGCACATCCCAGGGCACACACTGTGGGGATACCCTGCTGCCCCCTGACCCATGGTATAGGAGTGGGGGTACCTGGCTTCCATGGATCTCTGCTGGAGTGGAAGAATGATCCATAAGGAGAACAAGAAAAGTGGTCCCTCCTTGCTCTCCCAAGATGAGATCCAGCAGAGAGGAACCCAACGGGAACCTCTGCCTTCTCAGGCAGGGGGGGCTGGGCGGAAGGGGGTGGGGCCGTGGAGGGCAGGAGGGCCAGGCAGATGGAGAAAATAAGGAGAGAGTCGCAGAATAGAGGAAATCCGCAGGAAAGCCCTAAGAGAAGCTGCACCATTAAAGCTGGGCCTCCTTTCCGTCCCTTTAGGCTGTGGCTCCTAGAGCCGCATCAGCAACGGAGCCCAGAAGCCAGCGGTGTGTGCGGCTCCCTGGTGTCACAAAGACACATGCACCTGAGCGGCGCTGGTAAGTGTGTGCACGCTCGTGCTGGGCCGAAGTCTCCTTTCCCTTCAGGGACCGGGGCAGGTCACGGAGACTGGAAAGGAAGGAGGAAGGCATCAGGCACTGGCTGAGCACCGACCACACGCCAGGTGCTGCGGTGGGCGACTCACATGAAGCATGTCATTTGATCCTCACGTCCCTGATGCCCCTCTTACAGGTGGGCA